AAATATCTGTCAATATCTACTTGGGTTTATAAACACCCACTATTAAAAATACTGAATGACTTGATGTGAATATAGTGTTATTGGTCAGTCATACCATGACTTAAATTAGTTGTATCTAATTCTTTTCTTTTTAATATCTAGTTAAAATCAATTTTACTAAAGAAGTGAATTTTGATAAAGAAGAGGAAGATAATAATAAATACTTGTGAAAAGATAAAATAGACAGAACCCCCTCAGCTCACCCAAAGTGGGGTGACCAGAATAAAGAAAGGAAGCAAACAAAGGGGCTCTAGGAATGGTTGAGATGCATTTTTGTTTATCATAAAATGTTTCAAGGTCTGCCCTGGCCAGTGTGACTTAGTTGCTTTGAGCATCGTCCTGTACACTGAAGGGTCACGGGTTCCATTCCTGGTCAGGGCACATACTCAGGTTGTAGGTCTATCCCCGGTCAGGGAGCATACGGGAAGCAATTGATCAATGTTTCTTTCTCACATGGATGTTTCTTTCTCTCTCTCTCTCTCTCTCTCTCTCTCTCTCTTTTTCTCTCCCTCCCTCCCTCCTTCTCCCTCTCTAAACTCAATAAAAACATAATTTTTTTTTTGCATAGGTCTAATTTTATCACCCTGAAAAGGAAGAGGAAATATTCATCTTCTCTCATTACATAACCCATTGATTTAAAGACACAGAATTCAGGTGAATAGACCTAGTGTTTATTTATTCAACAAATACATATTCAACTACCATCTATTAAATAGAATTGTGTGTGCTAGTCTAAGAATCTAATTGCTATTTATAACATTGCTTATTCTGTGGGAAAGTAGAGACACCAGGCATATAATGAAATGTTGCACTATAACTGTTGTAGAAGTTAGAGCTGTCTGTATGGCTTCAAGTACTAAGAATAGAAAATTGCAGTTTCTGAACTGACCAGAAAACCCACTGCTGGCCTGAAGATATCAACTCTAAAAGCATTAGGCCCATTGTCAGCAAAACTATAAATAATATTATGTTGATTTTGGTATGTGAATGTAATACTATTAAGACATCCAAAAATAGATCACAAATAGCACAGATCATGTATTTGACATTTCCCCCCTAATAATGCCTATTTGTCTCTATGAAGCTATCAAGGCCATTTTATCACTCATTGTTGTTACCCATTACTTATGTTTGCCAATTTGCTGGCTAGAGTTACCTTTACCCTTTAAAAAATAAAAATGAACAACAAAAGAAAAAGCCACCCTATTTTCCTAGCTGGTGTTGCTCAATGGTTGAGTATACACCTATGAACCAGGAGGTCAAGGTTTGATTCCTTATCAGGGCATATGCCTAGGTTGCAGGCTAGATCCCCAGTAGGGCATGCAGGAGGCAGCCAATGGATGATTCTCTTTCCTCTCTGAAATCAATAAAAAATATACATATATTTTAAAAGCCACTCTATTCTACAGTGGTCAGCAAACTGCGGCCCCTTGAGTGTGGCTTTTCCACAAAATACCACGTGTGGGCGCGCACACACTGTGCGATTGAAACTTCATGGCCACACTCAAGGGGCTAAAGAGCCACATATGGCTCGTGAGCCGCAGTTTGCCGACAACTGCTATAGTACAAAGTGGGGGCAGAACCTGCCATTGATCTCATTAACAATGTATTTAAATCAGCTAAGCTAACCAACTCCATTGATGAAGTATCACAGAAATTCACCCACAAATGGTACTTTTCTAAGGGTATACCACTGTACAACCAGCAGTATGGCCCTGATTAGTGTTTTTGTTTGTCTGTGTGGGTTTTGTTGTTGTTGTTGTTTTATTTTAGAGAGAGGAAGGGATAGGGAGAGAGAGAAACATCAATTGGCTGCCTCCTGTATGCCCCTTACCGGAGATCAAACCCACATCCCAGGCATGTGTCCTAATCTAATCAGTAATTGAACCTGTCTCCTGTATGCCCCTTACTGGAGATCAAGCCCACATCCCAGGCATGTGTCCTAATCTAACCAGTAATTGAACTGTACATGGGAGGACACTCAACCAACTGAGCCACACCAGCCAGGGTGATTAGAGTTTTTTCTTAAGCCTCTAGTAAATGTGAACCTATCTTGCTTTTAAATTAAGAGGTATAAGCGAATTAAGCATCATCATAAAGATTATCTGGATGGGTTACTTTCACTATCTCTTACCTTACTTATGGGTTTTTAAAGCATATTCAAGGATCATCCAGCCAGATATAAGGCTGATAGGCCCAGTCTGTGGATAGACTAGGCCGTGTGGATCAATTCTCCTTGTAGATACCTGCTTTAGACTATTTTCTTATTTGTCACAGACAATGGGGGAATTAAAGACAATGGGAAAAATAACAGTAAGTTAAATTATTTTGTTTTTATAGCTGTCTTAAAGGATAGTGGGAAAAGTCAGTGAAACTGAATGGCTAAAATTACATTTAAGGATTTTCTGTGGCTTTATTATCCATGAATTGCCAATCCTCTATCATCACAAAAGATATAGCAAAGAATAAATAAAAGTATAAACATGGTTGTAGCACAGATTGTCTTTACATTATCCAAACAATTTTCCAACTGAACTTTGTAACAACTTTGCATTAGTGTAGTTGGAGCACAGATTGTCTTTACATTATCCAAACAATTTTCCAATTGAACTTTGTACAACTTTGCATTAGCGTAGACATAACACACGCACGCACGCGCACACACACACACACGCATGCACACGCACACACGCACGCGCACACACAATATCAATAGTAAAGAATGTATTCTTAAGAAATGTTAGATATTATTTCTCACAGCACTCTACTTATTACTTCTCATCAGGTCAGCTGGTACATGGAGGGTTCCATGTTTGCCCCGTGCCTCGCCCATGTCATATCCTTCCAGGAGTTGAGATTCCCACTCTCATCTACCTTCCCAAACCCCATCTCCCACAGGAAATTTTCTGGAACAATCCATGCAGCCTTCCTAACCTCTTCCTCTTTGACCTTCTGCTAGAATCATCAATACAGCACTTGAAATCCTGCCTTATCTGGCCTCTGGTTGATTTTATATGAATTTGTCTTGTTTACCCACTAGAATGCCTAGGACCGTGGCTAGCATACTGCGGCTCATGAACCACATGTGGCTCTTTGGCCCCTTGAGTGTGGCTCTTCCACAAAATACCACGTGCGGACGGGCAGGTACAGTGCGATTGAAACTTTGTGGCCCATGCACAGAAGTCGGTTTTCGGCCTGGGCGAGTCTATTTTGAAAAAGTACTGTTGATATTTGGCTCTGTTGACTAATGAGTTTGCCGACCACTGGCCTAGGAGATTAAACGTGATTTCCATATCTACAAACACATCAAGCAGAGAGCCTACTTAGCACATAGAGACATTCAATAAATTTCTATTTACCAACCATTTTAAAAGAAAATAGAAAGATCTGTAAGTCCCCTTGTTAGTCTGTAACTGTCATTAAGAGTGGGGCAAAGTATAAATTCACAAAATTCCACAGTACCTTTCCTCTAAACAGTGCTTAATCCTTTCTCACAGATTATCTGTCATAAAATCCTAGAATAAAAGGCAAAGAAAGGTAGAAACTAAAATTCCTAGGACTTTGATATTCCTCCTAGTGCAGACATGAAGTAGTGGCACATTTGATGGCTCAGACATTTAACACCTGCTTCCCCTGTAGAAGAGGCACAGTAAAACCTCCGTTAATCGACCCATCAATCCGGGATCCTTAGTTAAGCAAAAGCATGAGTTTTCTTGTATTCTAAGAAAGAGGTGAATTATAGCAAAAACAAGTTTAAGGATTTATCTCAAAATCCACATATTTGAAAAGTTCTGCACTTATTACATATTCAATCCAATTTTATACACCTTCTTAGATACAATAATTGATAACTGCAATAATAAGTAATATTAACTGAGCACTTACCTCAACCAGGAGTCAAGAAAAGTGCTTTAAATACCTAATCTCATTACAAAAAATCCTATAGAGAATTAATTACTATTATACTAATTTAAGATATCAAAACTGAAGCACCTAGATGTTAAGCAACTTGTCCAAGATCATATAGCTTAGAGCCAGCATTTGAACTTACCTTATATAATTCCAGAGCATAATGACTATGCTCTGCTTATAATATAGTATTTAATGGTACACAATCACATTTCTCAAGCATTAAATATTTTCTTGGTATCAGATAGCTACTAAATTACAATGTTGCCAACATATTGCAGAGTTATTCATAATAAAGTTTATAGTAATGGAATTTTTAGATCAACTCTCTATTTAAAATCTCTAGACATATCACCCTCCCCCTCCAACTCTGCATTCTAATTAATCAAGGTTTTAATGTATTAAAGAGCTGTAGGAAAAAGGGGGGCAGAATTTACTGACCCTATTTTGCAGATTCTGAAACAAAGACAATTTTATCATCAATTTGTTGGAAAGGGGGATATATTAATACTAAAAAAAGCCATTTGGAAATAGTTGAAATGCCATCCAACCCACACTTCTAGAGTGCTTGAAAGGTAATCTGAAGCTGAAACCGGTTTGGCTCAGTGGATAGAGTGTCGGCCTGCGGACTGAAGGGTCCCAGGTTCGATTCCGGTCAAGGGCATGTACCTTGGTTGCGGGCACATCCCCAGTGGGAGATGTGCCGGAGGCAGCTGATCGATGTTTCTCTCTCATTGATGTTTCTGACTCTCTATCTCTCTCCCTTCCTCTCTGTAAAAAATCAATAAAATATATTTTAAAAAAGGTAATCTGAAAGAAACTGCATACATAACCTTTGGTTATCATATAAGTTATCTCAGGACTATTGGGGGAGGTATATTTACTTAGTTTAATGATATTGGGAGAAGAAGGGATGAATTCATGTTGGTGAGAAACAATTCCATTGGTCAGTATAGAAGCTGATAAAGCAAATATTCTGGTTTCAGTCAAATTTTTATTGCCCTGGGATTCTCAGAAAGCCATAGGGGACCAGAGTTCTCTGAGGCTCTTACCCGTTGGCAAAGCTAAAGTAGCTACTCGTACTTGATTCTTCCCTTGAAATAAAACCGCGAATTGCTGTCCCAGAGGGTTTCTTCATGCTGGTGGTCGACGTTGGCATTATTTTTGCCCCTGCAATACCATTGCAATCTTAGTGAGTTGGCATAATATCTGTTCATTAGAGATTTTGAAACTTACTAATGGCTGAGATATTTCTAAGCCCCTAACTAAGGAGTAGCTGGGGATCCTTAGCTACACACTAGTTCTAAGAGGGTCAATTATAGAAGGCTCTGTAATTTCCTTCTGTAGAATTAAGAGTAGGTGGAAAATGATTGTGAGGATTCAATACCATATAGTATGTTTAAAATAAGTACCTATTGAGTTGCTGCTGTATTTTTCTAATCCATCACTCCTCCCATCTCACCCAAAAACATTGCATCCAAGGAGCCTTCTTACTACAGACCAGGTGCAGAGCCACTATAGGACTCTAAGAAAAACAACAACGCACAATACAGTCCCCTTCTCCCTTCTGCAGATGGTGCTCAGATTGCAATTCATTCTACTAGGACAGTGGTCGGCAAACTGCGGCTCGCGAGTCACATGCGGCTCTTTGGCCCCTTGAGTGTGGCTCTTCCATAAAATACCGACTTCTGCTCATGGGTCACGAAGTTTCAATTGCACTGTACATGCGCGCCCGCACGTGGTATTTTGTGGAAGAGCCACACTCAAGGGGCCACAGAGCCGCATGTGGCTCACCAGCTGCAGTTTGCCGACCACTGTACTAGGACATTGCCTCCTTTTACTTTATTTTCCTTCATGGCTTCTTTATTATTAATTCCTAGAAAATTTGTAAAGTTCAAAATCTGAAAATAATACAAAAGTAAGTACTTTATCTGCAAATGGGGATAATACTGGGGTTTCAGAGGGTGATCATGAGGCTACATGCAAGAATGTTTGCAATTTAATAATAAAATGAGCAACATGAAGCTGCACTGAAGTGGAAAAAGCTGACACATGAGCCATTACTTCATTCTGCATGCACATGTTGATACCCAATCATGCCATTCTTATTTCAGAATCCTTTCAACACACTAGGATAGGAAACCTTTATTGGTCACTTGGCACTCGGTATTATGATAAAAAATAACATTCTAAGGGGTGCTTTGGGAGTTGAATGCTTCTCTTTCACTCTTAAGAACCCTGAATTATCTGCTTCCCTGAACCTCTCAGAGAAGTGAAGATCATCTGAGAAGAAGTTATCTGAGTGAGGACAAAGTCAAAGAGCAGTCAGCATTGCTACTCCTCCTCTTCCCTCACCCACACAAGTAGAGAAGAAAGAGCTGGCCTTTTCTTCTTGTGTCAATTTAAGAATCATCTTGGTACCATTACTACTTGGAATGGGGAGTTCACGTGGAACAAGGCTTTAAACCCACATAGCACCAGGTTTTGGATAATTGCAGACAGAAAAAGCCACAAGAAAATCTTGGTATCCCTCTTCTTTTGTGGTGATGCTTTCTGAACTATTGTAATCTATGGAAAATATCAATCGAGTCAAAAACACACTTCTGGAAGAAGAGAGACATCCTTTGTTTAGGTGATTTGTCAGCTTAAATAATCAGTAATTGCATCACACAGGTGTGCTAGGAGACAGGCTTGGCATAAGATTGTTCCCTACCTGTAATCCTCAGAAGCCTCCACTTACATATGGAGGCTTGATGGGGGCTTTCAGGTTGACTGATGTTTCCTTATTTCCTGGTTACCTTTTGCCCTGGGGGAATGGCCCGGGGAGGGAACATCTGAAGAAAAGTCTGAGTGAGAACTAGTGTGTTACCAACTGTCAGTCTTTAAAGGCTAGAGGCTTAGTATTCGGGATAGAAGCTGAGCTGTGGAATGTAAAAAGCAACATGCTCAAACTGGCTTAGGAACAATGGGACTTTCGGGAAGTCTCTGCCTTCGCAAAGCCTAACTCTCCAGCCAACAACATTTGCCAGGTCCTAAAAAAAAGTGTGTGAAATTTTTGCTAAAGCTTTGAATCTTTCCCGGTGCCATGCTTAATAAAATATCTTCTGAAAACACATTATGATCGTATAATGTTGGAAGCTTTCATAATTATCGAAGCACGTGCATGTATGTGGGGATCGGAAAGAACAGCCTGTATGAGGACTGGAGAAGTCTCTGGCTGTGTGTAGGCGGACTGGAGGTCAAAGGTGAAATGCTTCCTTCCAACTCTGAATTCTATGATACAAATGACCTTCAAAAAAGTCTAAAAGTGTTCTCTCCACCAGGGTGCAGATAAGCAACACTCTACTGTTGCCCTTGCCCCAGCTTCTATGCTGCTTCAAATGCTTAGAAAAAAGCAAAGAATAAAATAAAAATAGGAAGACAAAGTCACCTCTCTCAAGTCATTCTAAAATAGAGGAAGGGAGAGGGAGAGATAGAAACATCAAAGATAAGAGAAAGTCATCAAAGATAAGAGGTAGTCATCAAGGAGGCTACCTCCTGCACACCCCACACTGGCGATTAAGTCCGCAACCCAAGCATGTGCCCTGACCAGGAATTGAACTGTGACCTCCTGGTTCATAGGTCAATAGTCTACCACTGAGCCATACCAGCTAGGCTTCTTTATTTATTTTTTATCTATCTATAGCTTACAGTGTGCAAATAATTCTTTTTTCATGAGACAAGAAAAAAATAGAATGGATATTGCCTAGCTAGACTAATAATGTCTTGCCATAGCTTACTATGACTTCCCTATGGATATTCTAAAAAATGTTTCTGAATAGACCATTAGACATCAAAAAAGACATGGCAGCTAAGACCTGTGAATGACTGGAAAAAATGCAAGTCCTATATGTGGCCAATGGTGTAATTATCTCTCTCTTCCCCAAGTAGCGATTTCCTTGAAAGCTATGAGCAAACATTTTTCTTTCCTGGCATACATGGTAAGACCACTTGTTAAGACATGCCTCATGCATGATTTCCATGTAGATAGCAATAATTCTACTCCTTTCTATCTCCCTCAAAAAGTCTCATCAGGTGTTCAAATGAGTGAAAATAATTACTGTATTATTTGGATAATTCCGAATCTTCTCCAATTTACTAAATAGATAATTTGTTGCAATTATTTACAAAATTTTATATTTACTAATCATTGTGACACACCTAAAAAGTTTTATTATGTATTCTGGATAAGAACCACTGCTCTTAAGGGCTGCAGAGTCAGCAGGACAACAGATCAAGCTAATGTCTTGGTCTTGCAAATGTAAGGATACTGTTTGGATCACCTATTCAAACCATTTCTAACTCTTTTCATACCCTCTTTTCAATTCAATTTTCATAATTCCCCTCTCTATTTGTTGTGACTCCATCACAAAAATTAGCATTCTAATGAGAACTCTAAAGTAGTTCTCAGGAGGTGGGGATCAGGGGATTTGGCCACAACTTTCCGGAGGTCCATTTTCACATTGTCCACTCCCTCCACTCCATCGCATAGGATGATTTTTATGTGATCATCCTTGCCCTGGTTGAGGAACACTTCTCTAAAACCATAGGCATTAGAGATTTTATTTTATTTTATTTTTTGCCATTTATTTTTTATTTCTTATTTTGATAACATAAATCTATTATAAAATTCGATGAGGACAAATCAGAGCAACAAACAGAGTATGCCCACCTAGCAACTCCTGAGTTCATCACCTCAGACATAACCATTTTCAACTTATCAGCTTTTTCTCTTTGTATTTAATTCTATATTTTTATTTTTGTTTATATTCCTGTTAATTAATTTTTCTATTTTGGGCATTATCTATTTACTTTCTACTGTAGAGCAGAAGGAGTAATTGTCTTTTTGCTTTTCTGTGTAAATTAGATAAGTCATTGGGCAGGAACTTTCCTAGTGCCAACTATAGAGTTCACTTCCTGCTATTTCACCACTGAAAACTCTAATGCCATTTAGAGATTTATTCCTTCTGCTCTAAAGCCTAGCTCTGTTGGTCTTCATGCTCTGCCCAGCCACCATCCCCCCCCACAAAAAAAAATCAAGGAATGGATTAAAATAAGTATAATCTACTAGAACTTTTCTGCCAATTTTTATTTCATCTGTTTTTTTATTGACTAAAAAAAAATAATGATTCATTTTATGTTCCCATAGGCAATATGATAATTAACTTATGTGTAGTATTTACCATTTGCCAGACACTGGTCTTAATGCTTTGTATATTAATATACTCAATTTGTATACCTTTATATACTAATATGCTCATTTAACCCTCTGAGATGTGTAATATTATTATCAACATTTTACATAAACAAGCATAGGGAGACCTTAAATAATTTGCCCTAAGTCATACAGCTAAAAAGTAAGTGACCAATGCTGAATTCATCTTCTAACCATGGCAGTCTGTTGCCTCTAAAACTTTAGATTGGGAACTTAAGTGAGAACCTCTAGTGTGGCTCTAGTTTAGAAAAAGGAAAGTAATCAAAGATAATTATGAATCATAGAAATCACAGCGATTTTCAACCTTTTTTAAAAAAAATCTCATGGCACCCACAAACTAATTACCAAAATTCTGTGGCACACCAAAAAATATATTTTTCCATCATCTGGTGAAATAAAAAAATAGGTCCAATTTTGAAGCATTCACACTGGAAGGCTATTGTTGTGTTGGTTGTTGTCACATTTTTATTTGACAATCTAAGGGGAAAGAGGTCAGTGCCCCTGACTAAATAGTTGGGTATTGCACGTTTTATAATCTTTGAAGCACACAGGTTGAAAATTGCTGGAATATCCAAATGGAAAAGGGCCATAGCCGTGACGAGAAGTTCCCATTTTGGAAATGATAACGTCAAGACCCCAAAAGGTAACGTTTGTCCTAAACGACAGCTAAGGAGTGGCCAGAATTCAAGTCTTCTGCTTCTCATTCGGTATAGTAGGGAGAAGAAACTGGTGGGAACAAGAAAACTTAATTAGCTCAATAAAGTGTCTATTCCCTTAATGGAAGGGAATAGACTGGGGATAGACACCCTTTATCTGGCTCTGAAATGTGACTCAACCTAGAATTTGTACTAATCCAAAGTCAGTAAAGTATTTATTTTGGCATCAATTTATGAAAATTAATTCTCTGGGAGAATTTCCAGATATTATCATAACTTTCAAGTCTATAAGGACAAGCAATCAGCTTCTATATTGATGTTTTGGGCACATTTGGGCTAAAAGTAACTCTTCAGATTCAAATTCATGCTCTAACCACCAGACCAGTGAGCATTCCCATGGTACTCTGCTGCCATCGTCTGGCAAACTGAAGTTAAGGACAGCAAATAGAGTCCTGAATCAGTGGGATAGGCTTGGAGGGAGTGGTGACTGAGGATCAGTATGGAGCAGGAAGAAGAAATGATTATGAGAAGAATTAAAAAGTCCTGAGCTTAAACATTAGATTGTAAATTGAAAGTCTTACTAATTTATTCCTTTGATACTATAAAATGCATGTCATAAACATGGGTAAAAATTGGCATATATGCAAAATAAAGGCAGGGCCTTTTTATGGAAATAAAAATATTTCCATATTTATACACTAGAGGAATTTCCTGCTTTTAAATATTTATTATTTATAGTAAAACAACACTTAAAAGTCAGTTAAATAAAGGGGTGCTTATGCCTTTTTATAAAACATTTTTGTTTTGCAAAATGATTGATAACAGTGCAAGTTTATGAGTGTGGATAATTTATTTGCAAAAGTTTTATTTTTATACCATATTTATAGGGATATGTCTACTGCACAAAACCATGCTACATTTTCATATAGTATAAAGATATGTACATTGAAAGGATACTTTTGACACATTTTTTCCTTCTTATTCACACCTTCTTTAGTGAGATATTTCTCCTATTTAGTCAAGCCTCATCTATTACCTAAAAAAATCAGTATTGTTATAGAATTTAAAAAGAATTAATGGCCCTAGCCTGCTTGGCTCAGTGGATAGAGCATTGGCCTGCAGACTGAAAGGTCCCAGGTTTGATTCTGGTCAAGGGCACATACTTGAGGGCTTGATCTCCAGTGTGGGGAGTGCAGGAGGCAGATGATCAATGAGTCTCTCTCATCATTGATGTTTCTATCTCTCTCTTCTTCTCCCTTCCTCTCTGAAATCAATAAAAATTTATTTTTTAAAAAAGAATCAATGTTTAATTTTTGAATCCAAAATAGGGTGTTAAAGGCCATCTAATGAACAATATTCTTCAGACTGAAGCATTTTGGGAAATTATATATATAATCTCCCAAACTGTCTTAGAGTCTCAAGGGGAAATTGAGAGATTCAGAGAACATGGAGGCAGGGTTGAGACAGAGCCTTTAATTTGGCATCTAGAATGGCACCCTGAGAAGTTCCGTGGACCTGCTCCTCAGGGAATCTCTGGTAGAACTCATTTGCCTGGCCTGTGAATGAGTTGGACTAGGTAACTAATAAGGCTGCTTTCAGCCATAAAGGACTGATTCTCAGGTCTTGTATGCCCAGTAGGGAAATGTCTGCTATTTCTTGGCCAAGTTCAAATGGGACCTATCCTCGTTCCTTGGCCACACCCCCAGAAGCTGTGCCAAGGACATGCAGGTGTAAGGTGCAGTTACCTGAGAAGTGTTGATGGTTCCTGCTTTTGCAGCTACATCTTCGAATTAGCTCAGGAGAATGCACATCACTGTGACAGGTGGCACAGTAAAAGAAGGCTCTGGACAATGAAAGCAAATCAAGAATGACTTATGTGAGACTTAACACTAAGGAAGCATGGTGCTGACTCAGTCTGCCTGCCATTAAGTTGTATGTGCGTTAGGATTTTCTCCCCATAAAGTAATAAAAAAATTTACCTTTTGACATGCTTTGGAGATTCAGCAATAAAGAACCCTAATGTGTTCTTTTGCAACATGACTTGTGCAGGTGGATTTAGTATCAGACCACTAGAGACAAAAACAAACAAAAAACAAGGCATTTTTTCCCCGCCAATATTTGTGCCAATATTTGGTGTTTCATTTTGTTATTACCAATGGATTCTCTCAGTTCCAGAGTCACTAGGACTCAATCCCCTTTTACTGCTAAACATGGTAGAAAATGTAAATTTGGTATATTAATACTCTGATTACTGCTAAATATTCTGAGGGGAGGGAGGTCATGACACAACTGCTGAGCTGTGTACACAACTGAGCTAAGGGTAAGGTCGTCTTTGGACTATGTCCTAAATCTGAGATGGTCAAACAAGCTCAGATGTATGAAGCCTTGATGACTTAGGCTATCCATTGACATGTAGGCCAAGGCCACATAGTTGCTAGACTTACTAGTGGTGTTCATTCTTATATTTGAACTTTACAATTAAATTATGTATATTAATCAGTTGGGTTCAAAAGTTCCTTTTATTTACCTATCCATTTTCTGAACCTGTGTATTTCTTCAGTCCACAGGCCAACGTTTTATACACTGAGCCAAACCAGCTAGGGCAAACCTGTATATTTCTTTCAACTTCATTTTGGTCTCCTGATTGCAAGATTTTTGAGAGTAGGAACCACATGAATTGTTTCTATTTCTACATTACTTGTATATTTTGATTTTCCATTTTCTTATGGTTTGTGTGTTTAAAAATGCTGCCATATAAATTTCACCCATGATACTCCTTGATGCAGTACTCTATTACGACTGTTTGAGTTCCTCATGTTTCTCCCTATGTTTGTCAGATTTCCTGTTGTGTTTTTTTTCAGATCTCCAGTATAAAGAGGCCTTATAACCCTATAACTCTCCTCACTTCATTTGTGCATGATGAAAGTATTCCTTTCCTCCTTTAAAACACACTCTTTTATGTTCACATTGGAAAGAGGTCAAGTCTTAATTCTGGAAAAGGTTATTCTGCTGTTAGGGTACCTCCAAGAAACTTGCAAGTATGAGAGCCTCACAAAAAATAAAGGAGCTTATACAACAAAAGCTCTTCAGCCCAATACCAAGAGTAGAAAGATGCTGAGGAGCTATGTTCAGGTAGATTATTACCTGAGACATTGGCTGACAGTTTCTGAGTATTCACCAACTGATGTTATTGAGTGGAATGATTGCTTTAACTTTCAAAGAGAAAGAACATGGATTTGTGACTCATACCCCAAATATCACTGTTCAGTAGCTCTCAAGTATACTTAGTTGCTTCTTCATGTCTCCTTTTTGTTTTGTTTTGTTTTGTTTAGAGAGAGTGGAAGGGAGGGGAAGAGACACATCAATGTGAGAGAAACACATCAATTGATTGCCTCCTGCACATGCCCCAACTAGGGCCAGGAATCGAGCCTGCAACCAAGGTACCTGACCTTGATGGAAATTGAACCTGGGACCCTTCAGTCCATAGGCCAATGCTCTATCCACTGAGCCAAACTGGCTAAGGTTTTAAAGGGATGTCTTCTGAACTCTTATTAAATATTTAGTTATAAAAATACTGTCATGATTATATTTGAAAGAAGAGGTGAACTTTTGAAGATTTTTTTGGACTGACATTATTGCTTAATTCTTCTCCTCGTTAATCATGACCAGTTGTTTTATTAGAGAATGTTTGCTACTGGAACAATCTCAAAATATTATCTAACTGGGTCAGGTCCAACTTTATCTCTTAGCAGGTGACAAATTATTCTCTAAGACAAATCTTTATGATTATCCAGGGGTTTTGCAAGATGTAGAGTATATTCAAGTGTATCAATTAGAAGAGAAAATAAAAGGTTAAAAAAGAGATTTTCCACCAGTGTTTCAATATACAGTACTCGTCTAAAGCCCAACCTTTGAGATGCCCATATTTCTTTCACTTATTTATGACTATGGTGGATGCAGTACAGCTTGGTGATCAGAAGCGCAGCCCCCAGAGCCAGATTAGGTTCAAATTATGGCTCTGCCACTGGAGAGCAGTGTGAGTTTGGGGAAATTAGTTACCCTTTCTGGGCCTCAGCTCCCTCCTCTGTAAGATGGAACTGATCATTGTGCACACCTCACAACATTGTTGTTAGAATTCAAGAGCTAATGTAAGTAAAGTGCCTACAGCATCATTGGTCATGAACTAGCTATAATTTAGGAGATCGCTATTATCAATATCTTTGCCAAATCAGGACTTTGATTCACCTTTTTTGGTGAGAAATCAAAGTTAAGACTATGTTAGACCAGGTTCCTCTTTCATTGTGGGTAGGTGTATATTAGATAGGAAACAGCACCAGGAACTCTCAAATATATGTAGAAATTAGTTGCTTAATAGATATTCATGTTTCTGGTCTATGATGTCCTAATAGTCATTCTAATATTTATTAGAAATCTGGGATGTCAGGATTGAAAAGGATCTTAAAAGCATTTGGTCCAGTAGTATCCAAATGCCAGTGAATAAACTGACTATGTCATGGAGCCTTACAAAATTCTCAGGCCCCACCCACCCTTAGAGATTTTGATTCTGTAAAGTTCAGAAGCTGGGGTTTAGAATCTATATGTCTTTAAAACTTTGTAAATAATTCTGATGTGTAGCCCAGGTTGTTGAAGGCCAAAACGATGTTTAAATTTGATCAAGTTGGGGGCCAGTCTGAAACCCAAGCTGCCTGGGTTAGGTTTAGATCTTGAGATTTTTCTTGAGCATGGCAGGATTGCTAAATAGAATGTAGCCAGCCAGACAGTACTGCTTGTTAAATCTGCTTAATGACTTGCTTTGTACTCTACCCACTGATTTCTTTTGCCCAGATTCCTTCTGCATGATCTCTACTTGCACAGAACTGTTGTTCTTTCCAACCTTTCACATAAAATCATTCCTATGTAGCTCATGTGCTACTACTCAGAATTACTGAATTTTGTCTATTTCCCTGTAATTTCATGGTTCCTGGTAATGTTGGTTTTAGACCTGGAAGGGGTCTTAGGTGTTAACATGAGTTCCTAATTTTACAGATGGTGAACACTTTGCCAAGGCCACTGGGCTAGCAAATAATAATAAGGACTAGAATCTAGTGTGTTGATTCTAATTTAAGTTAGTTTTGCACAGAAAACCATACATCAGCCAACATCTTTCTTGTCCCCCATCTATTTAAGGCCCCATTTTATTTTCATCATCTTTTCTCACTATGTCATTGTAGCTGATTCTCTTTCTATTTGTCCTAAATTTTATTTTTTATGACATGATAACTTATTTTACTTCTAATATTATCCAATATGGGTTCTCAGGAAATGCTGGTAACATTATCTCTTTCCTTCATCCCCCCTATTAACAGCAGACTTTTTCTAGTGGGCCAAATTCACATTTTGTCATATTTTACAGAATTGTTTTTAAAACTAGAGTTTGTGAGAACATTTTTATCATAAGTAATTCTATTGTTATGGTATGGCTTCATGGTCAAGATTTGCAAGATCTGGTAATATATGAAGAGGAACAGATGCGAGAGGGTGACCCCTCCTGGAGAGAACTGGGGCAGTGCCTTAGCAGCAAAGGCAAAGCACCTGTCCACCCGTTAGGGCAAGCAAATCAAACTCGTGGCCCGCGGGCCGCATGCCTCATTTATTTGGCCTGTGTTAGCCTTTGAGTTTGACATGCTTGCTAGGATAACCATGCTAACCACAATCACTAGAAATATATTAAATTCACCACAGCAGCCTGGGCTGCTCTCAACAAATATCAAAAAGCTTAGTTATGGTTGTATATTTGGAAAAGTCTTAATCATAAAGATTCTACTAAAAAAAAACAAACGGAAGAGGTTTGAAGCCTCATTGCTACCAGTAACCGGAAGCCGTGGATTTGTGTTTGATGGCTATCAGCATGAGGTGCAGCTTCTCAAAGCAGAGCCTGGGAAGGAAGATGAAGCATCATGAGGAGAGGGAGGATAGGAGGCCACTACTTCACAGTACTATGACTAACACTTTGTGATCTGTCCCTGTGGGGACACCAGCACTTCATCAGAGGAAGGGCCTCCCAAATATGGAATTCCCACTTGTAAGTGGATCCATCCTGAAATAGCTCATTGCCAGCATGCCACTGGGACAGAGATACAACTGCCCCACAACTTCTAAGTTGCAGCAACTCAGACTTATTCTGATCTCATATTCTTATATCTTCAGTGCTTGTCATGGAGCCTGGCCTACAGAAATGCCACCAATGAACACTGTTGAAAGAATGCTATTGTGTGAAAAAAAAAAATGAGAAAGCTTTTCTTTTAACTTACAGGGAAACTTCAGGAAAAGTCATTCCAGCTAAGTCATCAGAAAGACGTTGAGTCAGGATTTTGTTCTTCAGGCTACTTACGAAGATTTTTTGCCAGGGCTTTTTAGGACAAACCTGTAATATACAATCATGCCACATGAAGCACTTGACCTGGAAGATGGGATGCTATAATTCAAGTTGTATATTTTGCTAAGCAGTAAACCAGCACCCACTGCACTTAGGTGATAGGAAGAAGATTTGTCCTAGTGCTTAACTGGAGAAATGTCAAAGGAAGGATAAAACTCTAACATGCAACTCAACTATTTTCACTAAAGAGTTCAGAATGAAGTAGAAGCATCATGACTTGTTTTCCTCCCAGATGGCACCCAAGACTGCTTGCTGGAAATTATATTTCTTCTCCCAATAATTTCAGCAAGTTAGGTTGATTTTTGAGCCAGTAATATCATAGGAAGGATAATATATAATCTAAGTTGTCTCTCCATAGATATGACTGTTCAAGATTGTTTTTTCTTAAACACATTAGTTTTCTACTGACTAGCTATAGGCACACCTCATTTTATTGTGTTTCACTTCATTGCACTTCACATATGTTGTGTTTTTTATAAATTGAAGGTAAGGCCCTCAACCAGCAAAAATATTATGAGCCACTTTATTGCGATACTCACTTTATGGCAATGGCCTAGAAGCAAAACCACAATATCGCTGAGGTATGCCTGTAACCACATACCACAAAGAAAAAATATACATGGCTTTCTTCTCAGTATCAGAACCCTTCATGGGTTCAAATGAACTCAGAGAGCCATCCTAATTAATGGAAATGCAAATGTAAAAATCAAGGATAGCAGTAGAGAAATGGGAGATATGAAGGGAGAAAAGATATCTCTCAAAAAGGCTAAATGCAACCTGAGGGGACAGGGGCAGCTGGAAAACTCACCTCTGGTATTTGTGTAAGATCCCTCAACATTTTGTTATGCTCGCTTTGCATCCTCCTCATATCCTCCCACCTGCTTCTCCGAGAATCACTACCACACTATTCTGACATGGCAGGACAGGCTCCAAAAGCTCGAAAAGCTCAGATAAAAGTTTAGAATTCCTATGAATTCTGAAACACTGTAGCCATGGAGAGTAAAGGCCAGTTCAGAAATATTTATCCAATGGCCATCTTGTGGTTTAGGGAAAAAAATTAAAACAAACACACAAACAAAAATGTCTGCCCTACTACAAAAAGATTGCCACTTCAAGCAATCTAGGCATTCCTCCTACCCTTCCCAAGACTCAGTTGAATCTCCTCCCTTTTCCCACACTCTTAAATTTCTCTGTTTAGAAGGGCTCACCTCACTGCACAGTTCATACCAATATTTAAGTCCCTATTGCTATAGATATTTACTTAGTATGTCTAATCTAAATGATACACTTTCCAAAAATGGTAAACATGATAACCATAGAAATGGAGAAGATTCCTGAGTTAGTTTTTTAAAGGTCAGAAAGGGCAACAGGAAGACGACGGCTTCACAGGGGAGTTTTACCAAACATTCAAGGAAGAACTAAAACCTATCCTCCTCAGACTACTACAAAAAATCCAAGAGGAAGGAACACTTCCAAGCTCATTCTATGAAGCCAGCATCACCCTAATACCAAAACCAGGTAAAGACAACACAATGAAAGAGAATTACAGGCCAATATCCCTCATGAACATAGATGCCAAAATCCTCAACAAAATCTTAGCAAATCGGATCCAGCAGTACATCAGAAAGATCATACACCATGACCAAGTAGGATTTATCCCAGGGATGCAAGGATGGTACAATATCCGCAAATCAATCAACGTGATACATCACATAAACAAATTGAAGGAAAAAAACCACATAGTCATATCAATTGATGCAGAAAAAGCATTTGACAAAATTCAACACCCATTTTTGATAAAAACTCTCAGCAAGGTGGGAATAGAAGGATCATACCTCAACATAATAAAAGCCATATATGACAAACCCACAGCCAACATCATACTCAATGGACAAAAACTAACACCATTTCCCCTAAAAACAGGAACAAGACAGGGATGCCCACTCTCACCACTCCTGTTCGACATAGTACTGGAAGTATTAGCCATTGCAATTAGACAAGAAGAAGAAATAAAAGGCATCCAAATTGGAAAAGAGGAAGTAAAACTGTCCTTATTTGCAGATGACATGATATTATACTTAAAAAACCCTAAAGACTCCATCAAAAAACTATTAGACTTAATAAAAGAATTCGGCAATGTAGCAGGATACAGAATTAACGCCAAGAAATCTATGGCATTTCTATACACCAATAGTGAACTTGCAGAAAGAGAGACTAAAAAAGCAATCCCATTTACCATCTCACCAAAAAAATTAAGCTACCTAGGAATAAACTTAACTAAAGAGGTAAAAGACCTCTACTCAGAAAACTACAGGACGTTGAAAAAAGAGATAGAGGAAGACATAAAGAGATGGAAGAACATACCATGTTCTTGGATTGGTAGAATCAACATCATTAAAATGTCCATACTACCCAAAGCAATCTATAAATTCAACGCACTTCCCATTAAAATACCAATGGCCTACTTCAAAGATCTAGAACGAACTCTCCAAAAATTCATCTGGAACAAAAAACGACCCCGAATAGCTGCAGCGATCCTGAGAAAGAAGAAAGTAGGTGGGATCTCAATACCAGATATCAAGCTGTATTACAAAGCCACTGTTCTCAAAACTGCCTGGTACTGGCACAAGAACAGACATATAGATCAATGGAATAGAATAGAGAGCCCAGAAATCAGCCCCAACCAATACGCTCAATTAATATTTGACAAAGGAGGCAAGAACATACAATGGAGTCAAGACAGTCTCTTCAATAAATGGTGTTGGGAAAATTGGACAGATACATGCAAGAAAATGAAACTAGACCACCAACTTACACCATACACAAAAATAAACTCAAAATGGATAAAGGACTTAAATATACGACGGGAAACCATAAAAATACTAGAAGAATCCAAAGGCATCAAAATCTCAGACATATGCCGAAGCAATTTCTTCACTGATACAGCTCCTAGGGCATTGGAAACTAAAGAGAAAATAAACAAATGGGACTACATCAAAATAAAAAGCTTCTGCACAGCAAAGGAAACCATCTTTCTCTGTCAACAAAACAACAAGAAAGCCCACTGCATGGGAGAACATATTTGCCAATGTTATCACCGATAAGGGTTTAATCTCCAACATTTATAGGGAACTCATACAACTTAACAAAAGGAAGATAAACAATCCAATAAAAAAAAATGGGCAAAGGACCTAAATATACACTTTTCAAAGGACGACATTCAGAAAGCCAAGAGACATATGAAAACATGCTCAAAGTCACTAATCATCTGAGAAATGCAAATCAAAACAACAATGTACCATCTCCTCACACCTGTCAGAATGGCTATCATCAACAAATCAACAAACGACAAGTGCTGGAGAGGATGTGGAGAAAAAGGAACACTTGTGCACTGCTGGTGGGAATGCAGACTGGTGCAGCCACTATGGAAGACAGTATGGAGTTTCCTCAAAAAAAATTAAATGGAACTCCCATTTGACCCTGCGATCCCACTTCTAGGAATATATCCCAAGAAAACAGAAACACCAATCAGAAAGGATATATGCCCCAAAGTAACCTGAGTATTATATTTTAATTATTATTTGTATTACTGTCATTTGAGGAATATAATTATCATGTTGATCATTTTGTATTTAATTTATATTTAAATATATGACTTCTCCACTAATAACATAACCTTTATTTATATTTCTACTTTCAATAACTCAAAGTGCTTCTACATTTATGAATACATTTACATTCATAATATCATGGAGCAGGTAGGAAGCAGAGTTATGGTCTCTATTTTGCAGATAAATATTCTTTGGCAAGAATAAAATCAATTACTATTTTCAAGGTCAATGCAGTACCTAGGAACTCAATCTAGATCTCTCAATCCCTTCCCAGCTCAAGGAGAAGTCAGATCTCATTTCTTAGGGCCTTCTTGCTTTCCTCAACTTTTCACATCTATTTCTGATCCTAATATGTGAAAACACGGGGATAGAGCCAAGATTCAACATCAATTTACAATGTTACCTTACTGTTTTGCTCAAGAAATAAAGATGTTAGAAAGGTGCACAAGCCTGGCACCAAACAGCCTTGGGCGATAAATCCAAGTTTTAATTCAGCAAAACAGATGATGTTGTCTCCATTAGTCCAGTTCCAGCTGGGAATCTTTGGCAGAAAATCCTGTTTCATGATAGAAAGTAGGTCAAACATTAAAAATAAATATAACTTTAAAAAGTTGTTTCTAGATGAATGTCTCTGTTTTACTTTAAAGCATTTATTATGCCCAGGTCAGCAGAAGTGATAAAAACAAATTCAACATTTAGAAGTGGTTAGTGGTCAACTGTTCCACTTTTAAAAAGGAAGCTAGTTATAGTTACAAAATCAGGTCAAATGGCTTAGCTAGACCTATGATTATACACTGAATTTACAATCTTTTTTGTTTATTTGTTTTTTGGAGAGTTTTGTTTTTAGATCTCATTTCTTAGGGCCTTCTTGCTTTCCTCAACTTGACATATAACATTATATTAGTTTCAAGTGTACAATGTAATGATTCAATAATTATATACACTGCAAAATGACCACAACAATAAGTCTAGTTAACATTCATCAACATGGTGGTTATTTTTTTCAAATACATTTTATTGATTTTTTTTACAGAGAGGAAGGGAGAAGGATAGAGTAAGAAACATCGATGAGAGAGAAACATTGATCAGCTCCCTCCTGCATACCCCCTACTGGGGATGTGCTTGCAACCAAGGTACATGCCCTTGACCAGAATTGAACCTGGGACCCTTCAGACCACAGTATCCACTGAGCCAAACTGGTCAGGCCATAGTGGTTATTTTTTTTTTCTTGTAATGATAACTTTAGAGATTTTTTCTCTCAGTAACTTTCAAATATATAATAAGGTATTATTTTTATTACTTTTTAAATATATTTTTATTGATTTCAGAGAGGAAAGAAGAGAGAGAGAGAGATAGAAACAGCAATGATGAGAGAGAATCATTGATTGGCTGCCTCCTGCAAGCCCCCCACTGGGGATCGAGCCCACAACCCGGGCAGGATAATCGAACCTGGGACCTTTTAGTTCACAGGCCGATGCTCTCTATCCACTGAGGCAAACCGGCTAGGGCTATAATAAGGTATTATTAACTATAGCTACTATGCAATATGAATACACCTCTATGATTTTTTTAATTGAAAGTTTGCACTTTTGACCCCTTTCACCCATTTTGTCCATTTTGTCCAGTCCCATCCCCTGCTTCTGGCAACCACCCATCTGTTCTCTGTATCTATGAGTTAAGGTTTTTTTGGTTGTTTATTTATTTACTTTTAGACTTGGTATATAAGTAAGATCATAGCAATAAATATTTACCTCAAGAAACAAGAAAAGTCTCAAGTAACCATCTTTTGGTTGTCCTTAACTTTTCTCTCTTTAATGTGTCTTGGTGTGGATTTCTTTGGGTTCCTCTTATTTTGAATTTTCAGCTTCCTAAATCTGAATGTCTGTTTCCTTCCCCATGTTAGGGATGTTTTCAGCCATTATTTCTTCAAATAAGTTTTCTTCCTATTTATCTCTTCTCCTTGTGAGATTCATAATGCAAATATTGGTCCACAAGATGTCCCATCAGCTACTTAAACTGTCTTCACTCATTTGCATTCTTTTTTTTGCTGCTCTGGTTAGGTGAGTTCCACTACTCTGTCTTCCAGTTCACTGATCCTTTCTTCTGATTCATCTAGTCTGGAAAAGCCCCTATAATGCATTTTTCAGTTCAGTTACTATATTCATCAGCTCTGTGACTTCTATTTGGTACTTTCTCATACTTTCTACCTCTTCGCTGAAATATTCACTTTTTAAATCTATTCATCTCCCAAGTTCAGTGACATTTTTATGACAGTTATTTTGAACTCTGTCAGGTAAGTCACTTATCTCTCATTAAGGCATTTTTCTGAGATTTTATATTTTTGTTGTTGTTGAAAATACATATTTCTGTTTGTTCATTTTCCTTTACTCTCTGTGTTGGTTTTTCTGCATTAGAAAAAACATCAACCTCTCCTGGTTAGTTGGCCTCTCTTAAAGGAATGTCCTTGTGTAGAAGATGAACCTTATTAATCAACCCTGACCTAGCTCTTGGTTGTCACTCAAACTTTTGTAATTGCCTAATCAGCCTACTTTAGTTTTAGTGGCTCCAGGTAGTTGATAGTGTCCCTGTCAGTGTCCCAAAGCAAAGGATCTCATTTATCACTTAGATTCAAGCTGATTGGAAGTTAGACCATTAGGCAGAAGCTTTTAAAGAATGCAAATATACCTCTTTCTGAATTTACATTCATAAGTGATTAACAGTCTTAATGAGACTTTGAATGTCACCCACAATTGGCAAAAACTTTTCAAGTGCAAACCCATTTGAAAGTATTAAATTAATCTATTATGTAGATGAACTAAATTCATCTAGCTCCACAGACTAAATAGGCTAGAAAGAAACAATACCTTATTATGGGATTGAAGTATCTCTATGATGATTCTGGTTTCAGGGTGATAGTTCTTGATAGAGAGTACCCTACATAAACAACAAATATGTTCATCAGTGATGGGCCACATACAATGGTTTTGTAACATAATTCAATTCAGTGTTAAATTGATATTTGGGAAAGCATAATAAAATGGCATATTATAAGTTTCATTGTTATACTATTCTCTAAAAATGTTCTGTTTAATAGAATACCCACTGAAGGTGGCAGTTGTTTTAGTGACTTAGTAAAATAAAACTATGGAAAGGTCAGCTCTTGGTATTCAGAGATTATGGTCTTCTGGGGCCAATTTTTGAAAAGAAAATAAATCATTTTGTATATATTTTAGCTTTCAAACTCAAACACACTAATTACAAGAAAAATGTAGATATTGTATTACTGTTTGTAGCTTGAAATAGCTCATAGACTCTCTTTTCCAATGTTCTTAGTTTACAAATTAAGAAACTAAAGTCTGTGTCATATTTACTATATTATACATGGTGAAAATTCTCAGCTGTTTCTAACTCTTTGTAGCATCACCTTCAGCTATTTCTATTTATTTTGCCTTGGTGGGGGGGGATGCAGAAGATTACCTGGGTTAGGAACAAAGCCATTGCTATCACAAGGATTGTTGGAATCTATTACCACAAGTCAAGTTCCTGCTCATAGATAGTTCACAATTAAAGATGGTAACACTAGTTCTAGACACCTTAACATAATTTCCAATAGTCACAAGCACATCATACTAAACCATGCACAACTTTTCACCAGAACTACTGGGGGTGGGGACAAAACTATAAGTAAAGTCTACTAATAGGGTTCACATATCACCAATAACATCTCTATTTTTGAGGAGGAGAGGATGTTAGTTATAATGATGCTATCTGAACAGTTATCACTTATCTGTATGCTTGCTTTTCAAGTTTAGATAGCTATTATCCATATGAAAATTCAGCAAAGTATGTGGACAAGCCCAGAGACATTCAGAATACTCTATTTTAAATTACTTTTTCATACATCTGCACCATTTCTGGGGACAACAAAAAATATGCTGTGACATCTTCTGTTTAGTCCTATGCACCAGGCTTTATTTCAAAAGTGGCAGAAATGTATCAGCATTGGATCACAAAATACCACAGTGCCAGCTTCATACCTCATGATGTTTGAAGTGTCTTCATCATGTGAATCACTGCACAAAGGGTTGGCTATGATCAGGCATGCTTCCGCAGATTCCACCTATTCTTCAAGATTGGACAGCAACCATTTTATTAATTACGTGGGGAATGCTGTAGTGGGGAAAACTTTTTTCTTACGTTTGTTTGGTGTGTGTGTGTGTGTGTGTGTGTGTGTGTGTGTGTGTGTTTCATAAAACTTCCAATAAGAAAGAGAATACAGTTGGGAAGGAGTTCTGATATGGATGCAATTACATCAGGATCATAGTCCTGCAAATGCTGCAAGGGTTGTGAGGGCTACACTGAATGAGTCGACTAGGGCACAAGGTCTCCAACATAGATGCTAGATTGCTTTAAAATGGGTAAAGTGCATAGTTACTTTTTCCTATCATCCGAAACCATCAATTTATGCCTGCTGATAAGTAATATGATCTTTTAAAGCCATTTTCTGTATACTTGTTTGCCTTTCAGGACAGCAAAGAATGGAGGAACTGAAAGTCTGCTTAACTCAAAGTAAGCAGTCATTCAATAACTGTGGAACCTAAATCTTAAGATTCTAGAAAATTATTGATGTGGCTTATAAAACCAAGGTGCAGGGAAGATGAAGATTATTCTGAGTCTATAATTTTCTGCTTTAATTCTTTACATGAACATTATAGATCTCTGCTTTAAAAAACTGAAGTCTTTTGGTTTTTATGATTCTGTGAAACCTATAAAATGAGAGAAAGATGGCTTTGATCTTAAATGAAAGCTGTCTAGAGGGTTGGCCTTTAATCATTAGTGTTAGTTCCAACCTTAATGGGATCTCTGCTATTTTCCTTCATGTCTCTCCTATCAGAAGTCACATCAGTGTGCTCAGAAATTGGTAAATCTGTTCTCTAGTAAGAATCGCATTTGAATGGTAAGATCAAACACACTTTTGCTATCCATAATTTTTTCAGATCTCTTAGACTGTGAAAATAAAACTGCTCTAGGTAGAGAACTTAGTGAAATAAATAATTTAACTATAAGTTTATATAAACAGTGAAGTCTGCTTGATATTTGTCAAGGAGAAACTGGAGGACAATTACTATATCTCCTTCATGATTAGTTTTTAAAATTGAGAAAGTTGTATTTTCCCAAACTTAAGGGTCTGGAGCAGGGGTCCTCAAACTAAGGCCCGCGGGACACATGCGGCCCGCCCAAAACATTTATCCGGCCCGCCGGGTGTTTTTGCAGCCACTGTGTGCATAGGAATTTGTTCATAGTTTTTTTTAAGGCCCGCGGGACACATGCGGCCCGCCCAAAACATTTATCCGGCCCGCCGGGTGTTTTTGCAGCCGCTGTGTGCATAGGAATTTGTTCATAGTTGTTTTTTTTAAAAACTATAGTCCGGCCCTCCAAAGGTCTGAGGGACAGTGAACTGGCCCCCTGTTTAAAAAGTTTGAGGACCCCTGGTCTGGAGTAATGCCTTTGAAAGAGACGAGATCCTATCATCTTCACTGTTGTAGCTGAGGTTAACTACAAGGAAGAAAGAAAAAATAGTTCGTACCCCAACTCGCCTCAGATCCTCCCACTTCAATGCAGATCCAGAAACAAAAGTTGCGTAGGCCATGTAGCACTTAAATATTGTTTGCAATTCCAAAGAAGGAGGAACCCTGGACCAAGAACGTAGGAACAAAGAATAAAAACGATGATTGACTTAGCTTAGATACTGTTATATTTATTTGCATTTAATAGAACCCTTAATCTCCTCTTGGAACACATCTATATCCCATTCATTTTTAAGCCACAAGGTTAGGTGATTTTGACACCACTAGCCTAATTCCATGTATCAGTCTGAAGCTCAGGTCTAATTTGCTAAAGGAATAGTCTATGTGTAAACATTTGGGAGAAATTGCTGGTAGCCATCCTTTAAAAACAATCTACCACCATCTGCCCTCTGGCCACAAGAATTCACAACCCTCTCCTGTACAAAATAATCTCATGATCTCCCTCAAAAGTGTCATCTCTTTATAATAATCAGGTCCAAGCCCTGCATCTTGTTATCTTAAGTCAGGTCTATATGTGGATGGGGCCCCTCAGGTGTAGCTCACCCTTATCTGAAGACCTGTGAACTAAATAGACAAGTTTTATTATCCCCATCTCCATACCCAACATGCCATGATAAGGAATAGAAAAACTGCCATAGACATTCCCAATCAAAAGAGGTGAGGGTGGTGCCCTAGCTGGTTTGGCTCAGTGGATAGAGCTTCAGCCCACAGACTGAAGGGTCCCGGATTTGATTCCAGTCAAGGGCACATGCTGGGGTTGTGGGCTCAATCCCCAATAGGGGGCATGCAGGAGGCAGCCAATCAATGATTCTCTCTCATCATTGATGTTTCTCTCTCTCTCTCTCTCTCTCCCTTCCTCTTTGAAATCAATAAAAAATATATATTTCAAAAAAAAGAGGTGACGGTGGTAATGAAGGGCATAGATAAATAACCAGAAATTAGCACATAGAAATTCTGAAATCTATCTGAGCACATACCAAGAGGACCCCCTTTTCCAGTAGCAGAGGATTTTTTTTATTAGAGCCTAGTTTAGTCCTTATGAGCTAATCCATTGCTCTTCTTGGTTCTTTTCTCTCTCCTCTGACCCTCTGAGCCATCCTTCCTTTTCCCTAATAAATGCCCAGTGTTTGTACTTGAGTAGCTTTCTCGGCTTGATTCCTGCCTGTGCTGCATTGGAGGTCAAGAGGCATTGTTTTTTTAACTCTGTCCCTTTACCTCAAGCTGGCAGTACATTTTACCGGTAAAATTGTATTTGAAGCATAGACAAGTCTTTATACATATTACTCAGGTTCACGGCATGCCCACAAAGTCATGTTCATGATTCCTCTCTACTTTCAGAAACTCAGGATCTGGGAACAATGTCCTCAGATTCTTAGAAGCCCTTTGCCTTGAGAGGCTCATCAATAAGTCACCACCTTAAATCTTTCGGAGGTCTTAACAAAGGGTCCTCAGCTACATCCTTGACTGGATCTTTACATTTGACCTTGAGGTCATATTTCACAAGTGGCATCTTGGATTTGATTTTTTTTCCTCCTGAGGTCATTTTCCTCTTTGACATGTTTTGGCAAGCTGGAGAAACTGTTATGGGACTCCTATATTCCCTTCAGTTCTGCCTGAAAATTAAAGTGTTTCTTCTTCAGCTCAATTTTCGTGCCTTATCATACATGATTATACAGCGGCAAATGACACTCAACATTCTTTGGGGAAATTTTCTTAGCCAGCCTCACAACTGCACTAGGTACATTTCCTAGTTTCCATATTACTTTTAGTGACATTGTTACCAAAACTCTGCTCTTCTTCCAGTACCTACTAGAAATTTCCTCATCATTTTTCTGGCCTCTACGGAGAGTCTCCATGCAACCCTTCCAGCCTCTAACTACCACTAGTTCCAAGGAAAAGACTATATTTTGGCTTTTGTTATGACAGCACCCCACTTCCACTACCATGTTTTGTTTCTGTAAAACAAACCCTTCTAGAACTTATTGATCTAAAACAGCAATAATACATTATTTCTCATGATTTTGTGGTTGGCTGGTCTCAGCAATGTAATTCCACATAGTATTGACTGTGGCCATTCATGTAGGTACATTCATCAGAGAGTTTGGGAGCTCAAATGACCAAAATGACTTTATACACGTGATTGCTGCCTCAGCTACCAGCCTGGAGCAGGTGAGAGCTTCGTGGGCCTCCTCCTCAAGCAAGCTATTCTGACTTTTTACATGATGGCTTAGGGCTTAAAACTCTCTTGGAGTGAAAGTTGAAACTGCCAAGTCCTCTTAAAGGCTATAGGCCTGAAACTAACAAAGTGTCCCCTCTGCTGCATTCAATTTATCAAATCAAGTCACTGGCCAGTTGAGATTCAAAGGGATGAGAAAGAGACTCCATCTTTTATTGAGAGGACCAGAATGAAAGAACAGTAAGGGAAGGAAATATTAATAGCTGTATTAAAGGAAAATCTACCATAATTACAGATGGTGATAAGCACTTTAAAGGAAATATAACAGAGTAAAGAGACAGGAGGATTAGAAGACACTCATTTAGATTGGTTGAATAGAGAAGGTCTCTCTCAGTGCTGAAGGATGAAAATAAACTGGTCATAAAAAGGTAGAAGAAATTCTTAGCAAAAAGAATCAATCAATAAAGTGGCCTTTATAGAGATACAGGAGAGATAAGATATTAACTTTGAACAGGATTGTTAATAGTGGAAATAAAATGGTAGAAATAGAATTAGAATTTACTTAAGAGACGAAACAGATGATATTGATGCAAGTATACATAGGATTTGAGGGAGACAGGAGTATCAAAGACAATACTTAGTTTACTGCTTTAACTACAAAATATGTAAAGGTTGGTGTGAATCTTATATACATTCCTTTATGAGATAAAAATGTCACTTCAAATCTGTCTGACTTATTTATTGAGTGATGTCTAAATAACTTATTAACCATTTGGGGAAAAAAGAAGCTAACTCCTTTCATATTACACTAAATCAATTCCAGAGAGCTTAACTATAAAAAATTTCCATATGAAAACATGGAAATCCTAGAGAAACATTTACTATATACTAAAACACAGAGGCCTAAGAATGTAAGAAAAGCAAGAAATAAACAACAACAACAAAAAGAAGTGGATGGATTAAAGTACATGTAAATCAAATACTATATTAAAATGAAAGCACACAAAATTAAAGAGCAAAAAGGGAAAACATATTTATAATATATGACACAAAACAGTTAATATTACAATACACTGAGTGCTCAAAAGCCAGTAAAATAACAGATGATCAACCTTATAGAAAATAGAGTAAAAATATAAAGAGGAATTTCAAAATGCACAAAAAATGTTCCATTTCACTGGGAACCAAAATTGTAAAATAAAACAATTAGAAATCATTTTGCCTACTTTAAAGTCTTTTTGTATTAAATATGTATTTCCCAGTGTTCTATAAATATTTGACTTGGATTCTGCTTGTGAAAATGTAAACTGCATAGAACAAAAATATCATCTATTTGAACTTTAGATTTCCAATCCTGTTAATTAACAGTTAGAATTATAATTATGAAGTATGCTAGACATGTGGGCAAAATTATGGTCATATATATGAGTAATCAGTATAGAATAACTTAATGATCTGTAATCACATAATAGTACATATACAGAAAAACATCTGGCAAAATATATTCTCAATTTTTTTCAGAAGTTACCTCTGATCATGGGATTGCTTTTCCTTTTCTTTTTGCTTCTTATTATTTCCTAATTTTTCTATGAATATTACAAGGGTCATTTTCTCCCATTAAAAATATCCACACATATTTCAAGTATTAATTTAGAGCCTATGAGCCAAACAGATATACTTACTCTCCCAGAAAAACAATCTCAGTGTTGATCTCCCCTGACTTATGACGGAGAAAATTCCTCAGGAAAGCAGTCACACTGTCGACAGTGATGTTTCCACAAACCACAACGAACCTGGGTAGCAAGAACATATTAGCTGGATCATCTGAGGAACAGAAATATCTTCTGTCTAGATTTAGAAGTAGAAAATTAGCTTAAACTTAGAATTTTGTCTTATTTTTGTTGATCCTCACCCCAGGATCTTTGTTTCCATTGATTTTTAAAGAGAGTGGAAGGGAGGGGGAGAGACACAGAAAGAGAAACATCGATGTGAGAGAGACACATTGATTGGTTGCCTTCCACTACAGCCCTCACCAGGCCGGGGATTGAGCCTACAACCAAGCTAAATGCCCTTGACCAGAATTGAAACTAAGACCTTTCAGTCCACAGGCCGACGGACCAACCACTGAGTTAAACTAGCTAGGGCTTAAACTTAGTTTTAAATACATTTAGTATTTGAATCACCCAGATTTTGAAAATGGAAACACCCAGGACTGCATCTCCATTATAACAAAAGCAGTGTCAGACTTCTGTCATCTCCAGTTCATCTAATACAGGGTATAACTCTACACATTAGAATTACATGTAGCTTCTTAGGAATACAACAATATCTATCATAACTGCTAGGTTTTTATGGTTATTTGTAACTTATAACAGACTTGAAATGTGTAATTTGATTTAACTTTGCACTTGGTTCCTGATTTGCTGATCAAGACATTTCTTCATTGAGGAATAATTGAGGCTCAGAGTATTTAATTGAGTTTCCCATAGTTAAATGCTGTGGCTGAGACAGCACTAGAATCTAAGTTATTTGTATTTATCTTCTGCATGTAAAATTATCTAGTAGTCACAAAAAGTGACTGCAATGGAGAGACACCTAGGACAGGTGCAAAAATATAAGCATGTAACTTTTATAGTGGAAACTAGCTATCAATTTCCTTAGGCTATATATATATATATATGCTTTTCCCTCTACTAATCAATTAAGAAAATGAAAAGCATAATTTTAGCGCATTTACCTTATATTTTCTAGACTTTACTGGCTGATTTAGCGTGGGTTACATATCACTTTCCTGAGATAAACTGGGTCAAACTTTGGCTTAACTAGTTTATTTCATTATTTTCATTCATTGCACTATTTTCTTAGTCCTAGGTCCGTCTTGGTTTTCATCTACTATGTTAAGAGACCAAACCAGGAGAATTTACCTACATTGTGCCTCTTTCCTCTACAGTGGATAGAGACAAGATTAAAAAGAATCACTTCAAATTTAAGATCTCTGCTTTTTTTTTCTTCTAAGATGTGAAAAAGCATTAATGGAAACTGAGATAACATATATCCACAGAGAGAAAAGGTAAAAACAAGTCTGTTTTCCTCCTGGGAACAAATGACTGTGGCATGAACAAAGGAGGTCTATGAAGTTCCAGTGAAAAGGCTGAAATTGCTCCTCACTCCAGCAAACCTCTGCCCAGGAATGAGCCCCATATGGTTTAAGGGAGTTTAGGCTAAGACAACTGAATTATTTCAAATTCAAACTGTGGCTTTAATTTGATCTATTATGTAAAATTAGCCTGAGTTAACCACATGCTTAACATGAATAAGGAAATTAGTAATGGAAATAAGAGGATAGTGATAAGGAAGGTCCAAATATTGTCACAATCAATATTTGACAGTGAATGGCAACATTATCTGTCATTTCAAGTTGACTTAAAGCCCTTATGGGCATCTATATAGTCGTTTGTATCAAGTAGCAAATATTATCTTCTTGGTATTTATTTTAGTACAAACCTCTTTAGTGAATGAATGATCCTGCAAATATATTCACCTAGGTCGAGCAATAGGTGTTTAGAAAGAGGTCTGTGATTAGTAGAATATCTCAAACTGTAGAAATTATACTTGTAAGCTACTTACTTCTTTCCTTTGAGCACTTCATAGGAACTGGTGTATGTCTTCTTGGTAAGAAAGAGTTCCACGATCTCAGGGATATAGTTCGCAAATAGTATCTAAAATAATCAGCAAATAAAAACCTTAGGTCTCATCATTTTAAAGGATACTGAGATTATAAAGGAGAAAGAAGGTACACAAAATGTTGTCTAATTCATGAGGGGTAACACTGTGAACTATATTTTTAAAGAAAAAGCATGTTTCTTTATTACTTCAGCCTTTGCATTTGACTAAAATGGAATAAAATGCTTTCCTGAATTCAAAATGGTGAAAACAATGAAGGAAGGATAAGCAGAAAGGCAACCTTCCTACACATTCTGTCCCCTCATCACTACAAAGTGCCCTTCAACTTGTTATTATTTAGGACCTTGGAGAAAAAGCTATATGGGACAGAGCAAAGTTAAGGGAAAATGAAATGAGGGGATGTAGCAGTGTGGACAATGTAATATCAGGAAGGTGAAATAGAGAATGTGGTATGGTTTTAAGGAGTTAAAATTAGAAACTTGATACACATTGCTGAATCATACACAGATGTTCCTTTATCTGAAGGAAAATGCTGGTTTGGAGAGCTTACTCATTTGAGCTGGAAGGAACAGAACTTCCTTCAGATCAAATCTCAATTTCCCTTCCCCTTTGGAATAAAGACTTTTATCTGATGGGCAAAAGATGAAGAAAGACAGGGGTGCTCAAGTCAATGTAGAGGCTAATAAGAAAAATCTACTCTCCTTTGCTGACCATCCTCATCTCTGGCAACCAAGCAATTACATCACGTGCTCCAGGGGTTGCAGTTTGGAAAAACATGGGATCCATATATCTTTTCATATTCATTTGACACCTGATAATGTAACATTCACTCTCAAGACTATACTGCTTTTTTCTCACCATTAACCAAATGCCTTTCACTTCTAGCCACATTCAAAAGATATTGAAAATATTCTTCACCAAACTCCCCAGAGTGAAGAACATGATGAAGGTCCGTCCTAGGGATGTCTTAGCTACCACATCTCCAAAGCCAACAGTTGATGTTGTTGCCATGACCAGGTAAATGGAATCAAAATATGTTAAGTTCTGTGAATTTCTACCCTTGAGCCAGGGATCACCAGAATTTTCCACCTGTCAAAAGAGAAAAGAATTCAGGAAATGGAATCCAAGGGAAAGTTTACAAAAAATAAGCAAAATCACTTAATTCAATACAAATGAAATAAATGATTCCTAGACGGCTTTGAAGGGTTGGTAAATTGGGGTAGTGATTGTGAAGTCTTGGTGGGTGTTTTTTTTTCACTGTGATCATTGCTGAAATCTAAGGGGGTATGTAGCTTGAGCTCACATTTGGAATGCTCCCTAGTGAAATTTATTGCCCATATCTCTTTTCATGTGGGCATATCACCACATCCTGGAGCCATCATGGACACCAAAGGCTCTAGGTTTAGTAATTACTATTCAATCTCATTTTTCACCAGATCAGATTTATCTATCATTAAAGAAAGAAGCACTCAAATAAGCACTTCATTTCAGTGAACTTAACTTCATAAAAGCAAGTGTCTAAGGAAAAGGAAACAAACAAGTTTCCCAGGTTACTTCCCCTACTCCCCAAAAATATTTCTTCAGCGATTAAAAAAAACTCTGAAAAAAATTTCATCTGACTTCCCCCCTAAATCTCCATGTTTTAAGGGAACTAAATTTATCAGGTTACCTTTTTTATATTAAATAAAAAGAGCAACTTAGGCAATGACCCTATACTTTATGTATATATAGTATGTATAAACTTATTATAAATATATAACATATATTACAAATAACATAACAATGATATAGAATATATACAATTTTCCCTTTTTTACATTTTTAGACATGTTTCCAAATAGCTTACATATTTCCTAGACATTTTTCTTTTCTATTTGACACAAAAATGATAAAATACTAAAGATGTCTGGAGAAAGTAGGTTTTTTTGTTTTGCTTTTAAGAACTGGAGTAGAAATTAGAAATAATGTAGTTTTCTCAGGTACATGATCACTTTGTAAAAGTGATATGTATGCCCAATGCTGACCCTTTTTTAAGTTTGATGAGCAGGTTATGAGTGTGGACTCCCACTCTAAAATAAGTAAGAAATTGCATGTCTATACTTAGTTCTCATAGCTGGTAGTAGAATCTGTTTCTACTGACTTCTGGAGTCTTCACTATTTTCTGAGACTATCTCTATATATAAAAGCCTAAGCGACTGTTAGACTGATAGCTATAACGTGCACTGACCACCATGGGGTAGACGCTCAATGCACAGGCATGGAAACATGGAACAGACTGATGAATCTCAAAGGGAAGTGGGGAGAGGGGAGGGTGGGAAGAGATTAACCAAAGATCTTATATGCATACTAGAGGCTCAGTGCACAGATTCGTGCACCGGTGGGGTCCCTTGGCCTGGCCTGCGGGGATCAGGCCAAAACCAGCAGTCCGACATACCCTGAGGGGTCCCAGATTGCGAGAGGGTGCAGGCCAGACCAAGGGACCCCACCGGTACACGAATCCATGCACTGGGCCTCTAGTTGTACTACAAGAAAAACAGATATATAGTATATTTTACCCAGGCATACAAGAGTTACTTGTGACTGTTCCCTTTAAGTAAAACCCTACAGTTTCTTTTAATAACATCTTAGCACATGGTTTCAATCACATCCTTGTACAACATGTATAAACTAAAACTAAATTTATTTCAACCTGGAAATTGCCTTCACAATAATTTAACCCTTTAATGTTTAACTCACAAAGCAACTGAATTTTTATGTTTTTAAATTCTGTGTTTCAATTTTAGATTAATGTGCTATGTAAGTGGAGGATACAGGGACACAATCCCATCTCCTACCTCCACATCATTTGCATTAGTTACATTATTTTTACACTAGAGGCCCAGTTCATAAAATTCGTGCATGGGTAGGGTCCCTAGTCCTGGCCAGTGATCAGGGCCAAATAGGTTCTCCACCTCCCAGCCTCCCCACCTCCTCCTTTCCTTGCTCCTTCAGCACCCCACTGCCACCACTGGTCATCCTCCATGTTCTGCGCCACCCCCTGGTGGTCAGTGCACGTCATAGCGAGCGATTGAATTCCTGGTCGAACTCCTGAGGGGACAATTTGCATATTAGCCTTTTATTATA